TATAGATATCATTTATGTTAAAATAGTCTGCTAAGTAATTGAACTTAGCTCAGTGACTTTAAAACACTTGAATAGTTATATACATTGCCTATTTCATTGATAGTAGACTATATTTTTGCACTCATTACGCTACCTATAGTATTTTTAATGTTTTAAATTAAGTCGAAAATCTAAGTTAAATTATTTAGCAGACTATTTATATAAATTATAATATATTCTATAGTTAAAAGACTAGCTATACAATGATATCACAACTTTTAGAGCCATTTTTTTTTCTTAGCGTTTTTTTACACAGTTTGGTGGAGTGTTTTTGATGGGATGTCACTCATTTTTTGTTGATACCTTATTATTTCGGTAACATGATATTGGTTTTACAACGATGTTTTTTTTCTTTTTCTTTTTAAATTATTTTATAAAAAATAAGTTTATATGTTTATAAATGGTCGCCATTGGTTGCAGATTATAAAAGTAATAGTAGAAATAAATATTATTTTTTTATTTATTGCCATTGGTGTCGGATAGTGCACTGCATTATAATGTTGGTCTTGGGGAATGTTATCTAATAAAATGTTGAAAATACTCTATAATAATTTCTAGTTAAATTGGCTCTGTTAAAAAAACTCTGTTGATATTGTTCAAAATTATTTGAAAAATACAGCATGCAAATCTACGTGAAACTTCCAATTAGATGAATGTATTTTCAAACTTAATTATTTAACTACAAATTTGCTATATGCTTTCTCAAGAAATTTTTTTCATGAATCGTGTTGCTTCATTTATACCCGACAAGTTTTTGCCTATGTGTGCATTTTAATGTGCTCTTTTCTTTTTTACTTCGAGCGACCCTGCCGGGTTGTTAAATGTAGTAAAATATTGTAATATTTTTACATGCAACTATAAACACTTAACAGTAAAAGTAAATCACATGTGATTTGCAAAAATTAATCGTTTTTAAAATAAATTATTCATAAGCAGTTACATACAACCTATTTCAAAAAGGTTGAAATGTAAATTTATTTTAAACTTAAATCGTAACTTTTCCCAGTAACTCTTGAAAACATTGTAAAAAATCCACACTATTTTATAGTGTTCACTCTGAACGTGTACCTACACTGTACAGACTACACAACGCAAATGAGTTTAGCATAAAATAAAACATTTGAGTCACATCTAGAAAACGGGTGTTTAAATTGTCCGTATTGACAATATGACTATTGCAGAGATCCCTCTACTGGGCGGAGTCCCCGAGGGGCTGTTTTATTGCCAGTACTTTATATTATGTATGTAGCAGCTCTTGATCATCTGCCGATAGAGGGGTCTTTATATAAGTACGCGTAGTCAATAGAGAGTTGTGGTCGTTAATGCTGACTTCTGATTTTCAAATAAACATAAAACAGTGCGATATATTATATTATTATTATTGTCACTGTTATATTGTACATGGGACATTGGGACATACCTAGTTACAATATTAGATATATAGTTTGTGTTTTATAGAATTGTACTTAATTTCAAACAGAACGACTTACGTCAAACCAGACTGCAGTGTATAAGAAGTAACTACAAAAGATACCTAATTGTAAATAACACTTCGTATATTCGGTCAATATACCTATCAGTACCTATAAGCCTATATATCTCAGGAGAAGTAATGCTAACGAGGTTCCTCCTCCGTCCCTCGATCAACTTAGAAAAAAAGGCCTATACACCTATAGGCTATAATTTAAATTTGGCCATTTTCGACCAAAATTGTACCCTTCCCTTTTTGGCCAATTCACTTTTCGACCAAACCAAAAAGTTTAGTATCTACTTTCTGTTATAAAGAACGAAAATATTATTTAAAAAATAAGTTGTATGAAATGTATACTATTATATGTACCTAATATTTTATATATAAATAAATAATAATAACATATTTAACATGTTTAGTAGGGTCCCTTATCTTCTTGAAGAATAAAAAAAAAAATATATATTTTTTGTCAATAATTATTTATCAATATATTTTACAGCTATTAGGTATACGCATGTACATATTTTGTCCACGTTTATAGGTATTAGGTACCTAGCTAGTTTATTTTATACATAATATATTATTAAATTATTAAAAATGTAAGTTTTACAAAATGTTTCATTTTATCTATCTAATTATTATAATCAAATAATCAATGACAACAATTATATATGTTTTAATATATTTCTAAATTTCTAAAATAAAGTAATTGTTAAACTTTTTAGTAAGGGAAGGGAACGATTTAGGCCGAAAAGGATCTCAACCATTTAAACAGTGACAATCAGTCCTAGTTTATAAGTTATTAAGTGCACTAGTGCACATGTCTCATCCTGTACATACCTGATGTTTTATACAGTCTAATAAGATTCATCGATACCTACTAAAATGCATAATGCCCTATAACTTTTACGCTATTTGGGTACCAGAAGGCAACATAAAAAATTAAGGACTATGGTGACCCAAAACGGCATATAACCGGCATCTGCTACATCTATTTCTCCAAGAATGAATGACAAAAATTCAAAAATCTCTAGTTCCCCGAACCGTTACCCAGCTCTATCATCTAATAAAAAAAAAGTAGTAAAAAAATAATAATAAGTCACAAATTGATAACTCCTGTGCTCACCAATATTTGATAAAACAAATAAATAATTTCATCGCTTTCAAAAACACGTTGATTCAACTCACGGGTACCAACAATTTTTCATGTAAGTCAACGCTATAACTATTTTGATTATTCATCCTCAAAGTCCTTAACATTAAAAGTCAATCATATAGATCATGTGTAGTCAAGACTAACGTCAGCCCCACACTTTACTAATCAGTTTAATCACTATTACGGACGTATACGGTCATTATAATAAATCTGCACCACACCACTCTCACCACCGATATGACCGAGGCTCCAACCGAGCTAGGTTACTCTGCTCAAAGCGTCGCTAACATTAAAAACAATTTTCTCAAGACTATGGGGCCACTTCAAATTATAGCCATCATGCTCCTTAAGTCCCAGCTTCGTCAAGTGTGAGCGGAATATCACATTTAAAATCGATGTTCCCAAGACAAAAGTGGTCCGTCCAAGTGCCAAATTATTCGCTTTAGCGGCGGCGATCACAGAAATAAACTATAAAAGACATCAAAATTACAAATGTATCCAGAAATTCCGAAAAATTATGCATCCAACTCATCATATAAAATCAATTATCCGGATGAGATGTCTCTTCTAAATATTCCCACTACTCAGTTTAAACCATCATACGCCTCCGTTATTTCTGACCTAAAATGTATTATAAAAATCCCAAGTAATAACAACTGTCTATTAAAGATCCTCCACTATTTAAATTTCTGCTTGAGGCCTTAACTAACTACCCACCTACATTAATTAACTCCCAATTTCTCTTCTTACAACTGTAGGTAGGTATTAAATAAAATTAATATAGTAACTACCTTAGTATCTACCATTTTACCTACCTATATAATATTTTGTATTTCAGCCGCATCCATAATGCCTTTGGGATTGGCTATATTTATTATTATATAATTCCATTATTAGTTGGTTTTCAATGTTAAATTTATAGTCCATGATCGCACATTTATTATTAATTTATCTAATGCTAACTTATGCTATATAGCCATTGTTATCTCAATATTTTTGAGCTATAATAACTTTTAGGTTGAACTCTAGAGACAAGTTATATTACTGTGGCCTAGGTATGAATTAAGGTAATAAAATAGGTAATTACTAATTTATTGGGTACCTAATTACAATACATTACAGTTTATTGTAGTGTATAATACAATAAGACTAATAATCAGAGTAGGTATATACTACATAAATAACAAATAGTTACAATCCGAATCTATTTAAAGAACTCAAATAGTGAAATTAAATATTATATTATAAAACAAGATTAAGCTTAGAATAATGTATTTTATATAATAGTATCTACTCATCAACTCATCTGTAGTAAAAAATAAAATATACATTTTACAAAATTAGGCTTTAGATTTATACACGACAAGCGTATTATAGACTAGGTATAGGGGAATGCTGGAATGTAATGAATAACAATAACTTTGAAGTACGAATGAACGATATAGGTAGTGGCAGTTAGAAAAATGTTTTCAACAAGACCTTTAAGGAAAGAGAGAGAATAGAGTGCTAAATAAGTAACAAAAAATTGTATAGTTTTGAAACATAAAGGTAATGTTAAAGAATGAGAAAGTTACAGAAAAATTAGGTTAATGAGCCATATACAATTAAAGTTTAGAAAAAGTTGTGTAAAGTAGATTAAAAACTTTAGACGACTACTATATATAAGTGCGTGACTTTTATACCTTGATCTTTTGTAGCATTTGATATAAGATATATTTTATGAGATACAACTCAAAATCAATTTCAATAAATATGATTATACAATTAACTTATACCCATATGAAACAAATAAAAATAATAATTTGATGAATTATGTCTGATTAAATATAATATCATTATAAAATTAGATTATGATATTAGATATTAAGTACTAATAAATTGAAAATAATTAATATCTAAAAAATAAAACATAATAATTATAAACACATTTTATTATAATATTATCATTAGGAACATATATTTTAATATAATTAGGTACAACATTGAATTGGAGATGTATTTTTTTAACTACCCATCAGTTATCAGTTATCACACATACTAAAATTTGAACTATGATAATATGATAAAAAACTTAGAGCCAACATTGGAAAATCTATTTATACTTCACTTAACTCTAAGGGTTAAATTGATTTTTTGCTATACGACAGTTTAGATACGTAGTTAATTATTTTAAATTATCAGAGACCGTAATGATTAAAGAAGCTATTGGATTTAATATTATGTGTATTTTAATTATGCTCTTTTAGAAAATAACTTAAGTATTATTTGTATTAAAGTACCCACAACCCACTGTTATTTATACTAGGAAATTATTTAAACATATTTTGTACTTACCACCAATTAAAAAGAGAAGAAATATAGTACATGTTATAAAGTATTTAATTTTTGATCCAGAAGCCTGTGGAAGTAGTGTTTTAGAAGAAATCAACTCCATTTTGTCAAGATTTGATATATTGAACAACTCAATGGAACATATGAACCTCTTCACCTGTTAATGACAAATAAACAATTTTATTTTAATAAATTTATTTAATTATTTTTTTTTTTGTTGTTGTTAATTTAATTAAGTTTGGTTGATACATTTATTATTTATTTGATAGTTTCCTAAAATCGTAATTTGGATAACAATAATTACATCTTAAAGTAGTAAGAATGTAAGATGTTTATAGAAATAACAATATTATTAATTTTGTTTGTGTAAATAATTATAAATGATAATTGCATCCAATAGCTGACCCCCCCCTCCCCCCACTCAAAAAAAGTAAATAAAAAAATAAATATTGTTTTCATTAAATTATTCATTATAGCATATCGTCACAAATATAGTAGACGTTAGGTACCTACACATAAATAGTTAAATTAGTACGTGATAAGGTTATTGTGGCAATCGCCGAACACTTATTTCGATGAAAATTATTTTTAGATTTATAGGTAGATATAGGTACTAGCATCGATATTACGTCGGATTGACTTTGATTGGTAACTACGATAATAATAATACCAAATACTATAGATAAGAATACGGGACAGTTCGATTAAAAAACCGCGACACATTAATTAGTCTCCCCGAAAATGTATGGGTTGCCTACCTTCTCAAACATATCATTGGTGCTTATCATTTGTTCGACAACGTTGAAGGATTTCTCATACAAGCAACCACTAAGATTTTGGTGGGAATGAGTTAGGGATCCTATGTCGCAAGCATTTTAACATTGACTGTTCCGTATTGTCTATGCCTATTGTGGCATGAAAATCTCGTTTGGACAATATTCAGTCCTTTAGATTTTACCATTGTGACAGTTGTGTTGAATACATATGTATAAAAATTGCTTACTTGTGTGGAAGGAAAGTAAGACAATTTTTAAGCCCCCCCCCCCCCGACATAAATCCTGGTTGCACCTAATTTTAAAACAAAAATCAAGTAGTTGAAGAATAAAAAACAATTATTACCTACCTATCACACATTAATACACTATAGTATTATACAATCATAACTTTAGTAAGTACCTGCCTACATTTTTTCAACCTGAATAATTATGAATATTATAAAATAATTGACAGAGCTATATAGTTGTGTAATTAACATGCTCTGGTACCTAAATATTAAATATTATTTATTAATTATTAGTATTGGTGAAAAATAAATTAAATGTATTTAGGTAGGGGCTCTAATCAAAAATCAGTATATTTTTAGTATAATTGTATAAGTAGGTACTCGCATAGTCACATGTAACAATGTACATTACAATCTGTATACCAATTACTAACTTAACGTCTTCTAAAACAGAAAATAAAATTAGTTGTACTCGCCAATAACTCCACTTGCGACTCGCGAGTAAGTACATCGGTACTCGGTAGTATCTACCTACCTACATCTGTACAATTATTTAACAAAATATGTTAAACCCACAATCAATACATTGATATTTGATATATATAAATACATATTCATACAATAATGTTATTTTTATACATGTACGGTGTACCTATACAAAAACAAAAAAAAATTGTTTAATCTATTTTATAAAGGTATTATTATGATTTATTATTTATGAGTCACGACGATGAAATAACTTGATTACTTATATAGATATTTTTATAACTAATAAATTATAATAATGTTCTCTGTAAATAAAAGGGAAGTAAATGAGATTGTATAAGACAAAATAAAAGTAAGTAAATTTAAAAAATATAACATTTTCTATTTCTCCGTATAGTCCTCAATGACAGTCGACAGAGATGAGAGATCAAAAGAAAACATCATGGTATTCAGTTTATTTTCGTAAAGAATGTTACTGGATATCTTTATAAACTCGGGTCCATTTTAATGATTCTAGTATGCTCGTAATTGCATTATTATTTAAATTGAACACTTGCATCGTCTTTGTAACAATTATATAAATATAAATACTTTTTTTCGGAAAAAATATGTGATAATAATTTTTATAAATTTGATATTTGTTATTTAAATAAAAAATGATTTATCAATATTTGATATTTATACACATTTTAAGTTATTAAATAAATGTAGTCGATCTAGGTAGCCAGGTAGGTAGGTAGGTAGGTACTAATAAAGTCTATAACGCACGCATACAGTTAAACATAACAAATACAACAACATTCGTATTATAATGCATTACAAATTGCATTACATATTAATATATTATTAGTCTTAATATACTCTTATATAATATAAAATATTCATGAAGATGAAATTATAGAGTAGGCTGTAGGGTTATATTTATTATTTATATTTGTAGGTATTAAGGTATGGGTTATTTTTCATATTTTCTTTTTAAAACCAAAGTTCTCAAAATGTTGATACTTTATGTCTTTATAGGTTCCTACATATAGGTAGATATTTCATAATATATTTTATGATTTATAGAACAAATGCCATAGAAACTTAAGTTTCATTATATTCTTTATAAAATATATAATAATATACAGATGAGTATACCGACTATAATATGTGAGCATTTTTACGAGATATAATGTAGTTTATATTTTTCAAAACTATATCTAGAGCATGCATTGAACCATTATAACGTTTGTTGAAGTAAAATTTATACTTTTCAGTATAGCGCTCGTCACTACCTATATTTCATCAGCTGTTGTTTGTAATATAAGAGGCAGGAGGGTTGGCGAAGCAAAAACATTTTTGTACTTCTTTGTTCATTTCTACGTTTTTATCTTTCTCTTCAGACTTTAAACTGTAACAGCTCGTTGAAAATATTACGAAACATAACAATAATTCACAAATAAGCTTAATTATAATCCATAAAATAAATGGTAAGATCTTAAACTTAATAAAAATAAAGTTCGTAGAATATGACAAAATTGAATTTATAAACTATTTAATACGACCACGTTAAAATAAAATAATAACTACAATACAATAAAATTACATCATTATAGCTATCGTGGTATTCAAATTCATTAAATTATTCAAAATTATTTAATATTTTAACTGTCATTATACTAAAGACTTGTTATTATGCGTTTCACGTAAAAAGAAAAAAATGTTCGTTTCTTTGTTACTTGATAGTTGATTTATTATTCCATTATAGTTAAATTAGTATTCCATATTTATAACATTGATAGTATATTATAATATTTATATATAAATTATATTTTATGATTTTTCACACGAACAAAAAATAAAAAGTTAAACCATTACGTATAAATTGTTTTCCATTCACGACTTTATTGATATTAGACATTATTTAGTTAGGTGTGGTTGTAAGTTGTAACTTATAGACAATAGCAAGCTATGTAGCCAATACTAGCCATATAGGAATATGTACCATAATATCCATGTATCAAAATATATAATTTTACGAGTGCTAGATGGAATGCGTCTTAATGACTTCATAAACTTAAAATTTAATAATGAAATAATATACGTATAAAAAAATAAATTTTATATAGGTACAAGGTGATTTTTTTTTACAAAGATACTTATTTTTAGTCAATATTTGTATTTTTTCAAAATGTTTTGTTGTATTAAAACTTCTAGGTTTTAATTTTTTTTTATGTCAACCCATATTTTTAACTTTGAAAACTCATTGTTTATTAATAAATATACCTGTGTACGTGAGTTGGAACATATTATGATTTTAATACTTGTTTTTATGGCAATAATATTCTTATACATATGTATATAACCATTTTTTTTTCAATTCTATCCATAAATGTCATAATGTTAATTGTTAATGCATAAAATCAATTGAATGACTTAATATAGTTTGTTTAAAGATATTTAAAACTCTTATTAGAAACATAAATTTCCTAAATTTAAGAAAGTAGGTTAAGTTAATACCTATACGTGTACATAATATTTAACGATGAGTTACGAAAATAAGTTGACAACAAATTAGTTATAAAATATACTTATGAATTTTAACATATACATATAATATAAAATGTATATAAGATCGTACAATATATTTCACGTACTAAATAAAATATTTATTTAAGTTCTATAACTTAACATTTAACAACTATACAGTAGAGCGACTTTCAAGGTTTTTTTTTAAAAAGCTTATGTTAGGTACCTAGTTCATATTACATTCTTTGTCTAAAATATTTGCATCTATCCATCTGATATTTCTAGAAGGAAATTTATAATTTTATTTAAATACATTCAGAATTACATTCCTTCTATTTTAATATCAAAATTCTTCTCCATACCATGAACTATAAACTAAAATTTATCTCAAACAAGACGAGTATTTAGGTTCGAAAGTATAATATGGCATAATACAATGGGTTTGATGGAAACAATAGGTTGATACACTTAAAAATGACGGAGTGAATGAAAAAGGGAATATCTTGCCTGAGTTTCTGAATTTTGAAAGTTCGTGAAACAAAGGTTTCTTTCTATTTTAGGTTATGGTCTTATCTGAAAAATAGGTTTTTATGATGATAATATTATTTCTTTTGCGCTTCCTTTATTATAGTAATACTCGATCACGATGTCATTAGATCGTGTAATAGTCTCTTAAAATGAATGTAGGTACCTACTATTTTTTATTTGATGACACACAATATACATAACCTACATACGGGATACAACACAGACTACTGTAAAGTCTCCTTGAACCGTTTGCGTTATACAAATAAATGGGTTTACATTTTTCTGTAGGTTTCGTAAAATTTGAATTACCCTGCAGCCTTATTAGTATGCACATAATACCAAATGAACCATATAAACGTTCAAAAAATGTATCCAAATAAATATTTGTTATTTTCTTAGTAATTTAAATATGTTTAATTTGTATTTTAAATAGGTAGTTTTTTAAATACACACCTACCTATAGTTGTATATAATACAAATGTTCAATTATTATATATGTATATAATGTATTTATGTAATTTAATTTAAAAACAGTTATTAGTAATACAGTTTTATATAATAAAATATGAGTGGTA